CACCAACAGTGAAACCAGCAAATGCAATTATCTTCTTCTTGTTGTTCATCCTCAGTAGTGGATCTTTGCAGCAATTGGACCATGAAGGCCTGATTCACGCATTCTCCTCTGAACAGTGGATGTTAAGATTGTCTGCTTGTCGAGCTCTGTGATCATTTATGTGTGCTCTAATCTGAGGGGCTTTAATTTGCGGTTTCTGAGGCTGGTAACTCTGATGTATTTATCCTCTGCGGCAGAAGTAACTCTTGCTCTTCCTTTCCCGGGCGGGTCCTCATGAGAGCCAGTTTCATCATAGCGTTCGATAGTTTTTGCGACCACACTTGAGGATACATTCAAAGTTCTTGAAATGTTCCGGATCGACTGGCCTTCATTTTTTAAAGGGGACCTATCATGCAAAATGCACTTTTGTATGTCTTTTATACATGAATGTGTCCCCGGTGTTCCAGGGAACTCACCAAGTGTCCGAAAACACAACCCTCTCTATTTTCCTCCATACCCAAATCTCTAAAAAAGGGGCTGCAACGGATCTGATACAGACTGATCCAGATTTGTACACTGTCCTGGCGTCAGGACCATGGTGCTACGGCTATTGGTCAATTCTCCACCTATCAGGGGAATGAGAGGTTGGGCCACGGCCGGCCATTGCTGCTCGAAAGCGCTGGAGAAGCTGTAGTACATATGCCATGCCTGTAAGTGGCGCTATAGTCTGCCACAAAAGCAGCGAAGAAGACTTCCCTTGCATGGTTGCAATGCTTGCCCTTCTGTTTATTCTCCGCTGTGGCTCTTTTTCTCCCTCTCCGAGGCAATCTTTTGCGCCTCCTGCTTTAAAACAAATTAATAATGACTCTATATAATCATATGTAAGGGATAATGTCCAGCGACGCGAAATAACACCTTCAAGCCGATCTAGATCCCTCCGCTTTGCGTCGGGCTCCTGATCAGCCTGTCAGTGTTCTTTTCCCCATAATAATGACCGCATCGCTGCACATTATCCCGCTTATTACATGGCCACATTCTCAACAAAGTAACGACATGACTCCCGATATTAATTGAAATGCTTTTATGGATTTAGAAAATGATTTTATTGATTTAAAAAAGTTGTATGTATTGATTTAAATTGACATGCATCCGCTAAGAAAAATAGTCCGTTGTTACTGTTTGAACTAACGTAGCAACGGCAGGAACTGCTTAGTTAGTGTTTTTGAGGAGCTTTTTGATTACAGATTTGAAAACATCGTTGCTTGCTTTAAAAGTAGCACAATTCATTATGTCAAACCTTGGAAAGTATCTAGATATCCCTGCCCTAATGCCAAAGTAACTGCCAACTCCCCTCTCCTGCAGGGGGGCGTGGTCAGTTGCAGCTCACAGAATCAGCCCCCTGGAAAGAGCAAATAGAGCGAAATGAGGCATGGCTAAAATGCAGGATCTGTTTGGTATTTTGAAAAAAACCAACTATTTATATACTTTATATAGGTATGGCCCTACAATATATGTTTCAAATATAGGTCCACTTTAAAGTGATGATGGACGGTCGTTTCTCTTTGAGTTTGGTCGTTCTTGCCATAATATGGATTACAACAGTCACATAGGGCTCTCCACTGTGCAATAACCCTACCTCTGCACAACACAACTGATGGTCTCAACCACATTAAGAAGGCAAGTCATTCCACACATTGACTCTTGACAAGGCTCATGTGTTAATTGAAAACCATTCCCGGTGTCCACCTCATGAAGCTGACTGAGAGAAGCCAAGAGTGAGCAAAGCTGTCATCAAGGCAAAAGGGGTCTACTTTGAATAATCTAAAATATAAATCATATTCTTGATTTATTTTTTTAGCACTTTTTTGTTACCTAGATAATTCCATGTGTTTTCTTTTATAGTTTTGATGTCTTCAGTATTAATCTACAAAGTAGAAACAAATTAAAATAAACAAAAACCATTGAATGAGAAGGTGTGTGTGTGTGTGTTACGGTTGAGTGAAGGAAGCAGGACCCAAATTAAGATAACTCTGATTAACCTTTATTTCAAGGATAATGAAAATAACTCAGACAAAACAGAACACTCACCGGTGAACTCAGTCACCAACAAAAGACGAACCAACACTGAACAAAGGAAGAGACAAGACTAAATACAGGGAGGGGTAATCACGAGACGAGAAACAGCCGGGCAGGGGAGGAGAAACACAAGAGCAACTAGTGAACACAATCAGACACACCAGGGTAACTAACGACAGGGAGGAAAAACACAGAGAGAGGGACCAGACAATACACAAGGGAGACAGGGAGAACCGAACAGCAAAATAAACCCAAACATACAAAACTAAAAACGTGACATAACATGAGAATCGTGACAGAACACCCCCCCCCCCCCCCCCCCCCCCCCCCAGTGGAGGGCCCGGAAGGGATCTCGGGCAGACGGCCCGGGGGCAAGGCAGAAGCAGAGAAGGGGGACTCGGGCGGACGGCCCGGGGGCAAGGCAAAGTCCTAGGTGGGGGTCTCGGGAGGACGGCCTGGGGGCAAGGCAGAGTCCATGGTGGGAGTCTCGGGCGGACGGCCCAGGGGAAAGGCAGAGTCCATGGAGGGACGAAGACCACAGCGGGCGAACTCAGGGGGCCGAGCATGAGGGCGAAGACCGCGGCACTCAGGGGGTCGGGCTCGAGGGCGAAGACCGCGGCTCTCAGGGGGCCGGGCTCGAGGGCGAAGACCGCGGCTCTCAGGGGGCCGGGCTCGAGGGCGAAGACCGCGGCACTCAGGGGGCCGGGCTCGAAGGCGAAGACCACGGCTCTCAGAGGGCCGGGCTCGAGGGTGAAGCAGGCGGCGACTGAACAACTCCGGAGACTTGAGAGGGAACTCGAGAGGGGACTCGAGAGAGGGCTCGAGAGAGGACTTGAGAGGGGACTCGAGAGGGAACTTGAGAGGGGACTCGAGAGGGGACTAGAGGAGGCACTAGAGGAGGGACTAGAAGAGGGACTATGGCTGCCGGGGCCGGAACCGTGGCTGCCGGGGCCAGAACTGGGGCCGGAACCGTGGCTGCCGGGGCCAGAACTGGGGCCGGATCCATGGCTGCCGGGGCCAGAACTGGGGCCGGAACCGTGGCTGCCGGGCCAGAACTGGGGCTGGAACCATGGCTGCTGAGGCCAGGACTGAGGCCGGAACCGTGGCTGCTGGGGCCAGAACTGGGGCCGGAACCATGACTTTTGGGGCTCGGGCTGCTAGTCTGGACTTGCGTCTCCTTCTCTTAGGAGCCTTTTGGAGGCTCCGTGGACCTCCAAAAGCCAGACTAGTTCCAGAGAACGACTCCTGGACAGGAGCAGGAACTGGGGAAGAAGCAGAGGTTGACTCCAGACGGAACACGCCGAGACGTATGGTGTCCGTTTGAGAATTGGGAGGCAGGGGCTAGCATGCCTGGGGCTAGCAGGCCGGGAAACACATGTCGGGAGGATATCCATCATCCAGCCAGGTAAGATCTTCCCAATACATGGTTTATCTGTAGCTATCTGGTGCGCCTCTGCCTGAGCAGCCTCTTTCTGCTCAACAATGGATGCTCCCCTCCACCTACCATAGCAGAAAGCCAAAGAATAGGTATATTTATGTAGTTCCACCTCAAATGGATAATCTGCTGAGTCCATCTTGGTTGGTTTGTACTGTTACGGTTGAGTGAAGGAAGCAGTACCCAAATGCAGATAACTCTGATTAACCTTTATTTCAAGGATAATGAAAATAACTCAGACAAAACAGAACACTCACCGGTGAACTCAGTCACCAACAAAAGACGAACCAACACTGAACACAGGAAGAGACAAGACTAAATACAGGGAGGGGTAATCACGAGACGAGAAACAGCCGGGCAGGGGAGGAGAAACACAAGGGCAACAGGTGAACAAAATCAGACAATTAGACACACCAGGGAAACTAACTACAGGGAGGAAAAACACAGAGAGAGGGACCAGACAATACACAAGGGAGACAGGGAGAACCGAACAGCAAAATAAACCCAAACCTAGACATACAAAACTAAAAACGTGACATAACATGAGAATCGTGACAGTGTGTCCAAACCTTTGACTGGTACTGTATATAAAAAACCCATTTCAATATTTAGCAGGTTCCCTCATCTATAATAATGTATACAAGAGAAACTTTGAACATGTACAGCAGTAAAATGCAACTACAAAATAATCATGAAACATCATAAATTAAACACTGACAGGGAACATTTTACTGCACCATCAGTACTCTGACATAAGAAGGTGCCGTACAATGTTCTGATGATACTTGCATACTTTTACTTAAATAAGGTTTGAATGCAGGATTTTAATTTGTAAGAGAGTATTTCAATTCTATTCTGTAGGCGTAGTGTATCTGTGAACGATCCCAAATACAATTCATTGTTTACATTGCAGCTAGTGCTAAGCTAGAAGAAAAAACCCTTTCATTTCTAACTGGAAGTGGAAAGGGGTTGGGCTACATAAGGTGAATTGAGCCAACCAAAATACACAATAGGTGGGACTAAGAAAGATAATATGAAAATGTAAAAGCAAAGGCATTAATTAGGGCTGCAAAATATCTCCTATTGTAATGGTGATTAGATTTTTAAATGCTAACACTTAATAGTTTGTTCTGACTGTGTGTTTCCTGTTTCCTGCAGATGTCCAGCTGCTGGTGGTGGTTAAAGAAGAGGTTCTCCCTGACCAGCAGGAGTGGAGCACCAGTCTGGACCAGGAGCACCCAGAGCTCACCCCCACACATTAAGCAGGAACAGGAGGAACTCAGGATCAGTCAGGAGGGAGAGCAGCTTCAGGAGCTGGAGGAGGCTGATATCACCAAGTCCACTTTCACTCCTGACCCTGTGAAGAGTGAAGATGATGAAGAGAAACCTCAGTCCTCACAGCCTCATCAAAGAGAAACTGAACACATGGAAACAGAAGCTGATGGAGATGACTGTCGAGGACCAGAACCAGCCAGGAACTCAGATCCAGAGAGCAGTTTGCAACCAAAGACTGAGGACGACGCTAGAGACTCTTCTGAACCTGACACTGGAGACTCTTCTGAACCTGACACTGGAGACTCTTCTGAACCTGACACTGAAGACAGTGCTGATTGGAAGGAGACCAGAGAACCTGCGTCAGGCTCAAACTCACTGAAAAATAGACAAGAATCTGTCAATGATTCACAACGTAGTGCTGTAAAGAAACCATTTGGCTGCTCTTTGTGTACGAAAATGTTTACATATAGAAGCAATGTTCATCAACACATGAGAATCCACACAGGAGAGAAACCATTCAACTGCTCAGTCTGTAAGAAAGCTTTTTCACAGAATATACATTTAAAGGAACACATGAGAATCCACACAGGAGAGAAACCGTTTAGCTGCTCAGTTTGTATGAAATATTTTGCATTGAATGGAACTTTAAAAAAACACATGCGAATCCACACAGGAGATAAACCACACAGCTGCTCAATCTGTAAGAAAGCTTTTTCAAAGAATATAGATTTAAAGAGACACATGAGAATCCACACAGGAGAGAACCCATTCAGCTGCTCAGTCTGTAAGAAAGCTTTTTCAAATAATAGAAATGTAAAGCTACACATGAGAATCCACACAGGTGAGAAACCATTCAGCTGCTCAGTCTGTAAGAAAGCTTTTTCAAATAATAGAAATGTAAAGATACACATGACAATCCACACAGGAGAGAAAGCACACAGCTGCTCAGTCTGCAAGAAAGCTTTTTCACAGAGTGGAAATTTAAAGGAACACATGAGAGTCCATACAGGAGAGGAAATATACAGCTGCAATGTTTGTGACAAAAGATTTAAATGGCGTAGTGATTTAAAAAGACACAAGTGTGTTGGTCGTCAGTCCTCACAGCTTAATGAAATTCAAACGGAGGATAACGGAGAGGCAGAGCCTCCAATCAGCAGCTCAGCTGAACACATGGAAACAGAAGCTGATGGAGAGGACAATGAATCAGTCTTATGACAGTTCACACATGAGAAAAATCTGTCTGACTGGATTAACATTGTTGCACAACAGTCATATAAGACTTAACCTGTTGAACCCCATCCCCCCGCCCCCGGGCGGAAAAATGCATCATCAACAGGAAACAGCGTATTTCTCGTTTAATAATCGTTACCTTTCCTCAGGACCAAGTTCCCGTGTCCTGCCTTTCACGTGCTGATCACCCACTGCTCATTTAAGGTGGACTGACCTTTACAATGGACCAGCTAGTCTTAGAATATTAATGCATAAGTTTTGTAAAGTGATGCTGGACCAAAAACGTGCCGTTGGGTTGTGTGCTCTCTGCAGGACGGGGTCTGTACTCAAAGATTGTTTATGAAATGAGAGCTTCACTCTGTTTTTGTTGTCCAAACGAAGCCAACCATGATACGTCTTCTTTCCAGCAGATGGCATAAATGTTACATCCTCCCGTTCAACTGTCATCCACATATTAATGATTCAAAACAGCAATGTGTAAGATATGGCTCGTAATTGACTATTTCAACAGAATGTGAAGAGGTTACAGTCTTGAGGCCATGTCCAATATGTTTATGTTTTGTTTGATTAAATCTACTGAAAGGAGCATTCAATTACTACATTATTCTTATTTGCTGTCATTACATCATGGGTTTGCATTGCAATACTAGAACACATAAAACCCAACTTTATTAGTGCAAATGCTGTTTACAGCATTCCACTATAGTTCTTCGAATCTTTAATCCCCTTAATATTATTATTATTTCAGGCAATACTTTGGCTCTCCATAGCTTCAGCCTACTTTAAGCTACAGAAACCATTCAAATATTAAACTATTCAGCCTTTTCAGGAATCGATGGGAAACCTTCAACTTTCTAAAAATATTATATAATTTTTGAAAAATTCAGCTTTTTTTACATTACATTGCATTTAGCTGACGCTTTTATCCAAAGCGACTTACAATAAGTGCGTTCGACCAACAAGATACAATAAGTACATCAGGTTTCATATAGCTAAAACATTTCAAGTGCTACTCAACTGGCTTTAGATAAGCCAGCCCTTTATTAGTATATAAGTGCTCTGTTATCAGTTCTTTGTTAGTAGTTATATCGCTTGAGGTGGAGTCGAAAGAGATGAGTTTTCAGTCTCCCCCAGAAGATGTGCAAGCTATCTGCTGTCCTGATTTCAATGGGGAGCTCATTCCACCATTTTGGAGCCAGGATAGCAAACCCACGCGTTTTTGCTGATGGGAACTTGGGTCCCCCTCGCAGTGCGGGTGCAGCGAGCTGTTTGGCTGATGCAGAGCGGAGTGCACGTGCTGGGGTGTACGGTTTAACCATGTCCTGGATGTAGGAAGGGCCAGATCCATTCGCAGCATGGTACGCAAGTACCATTGTCTTGAAGTGGATTCTAGCAGTTACCGGAAGCCAGTGAAGAGAGCGGAGGAGCGGCGTGGTGTGGGAAAATTTAGGAAGGTTGAAGACCAGACGAGCCGTTGCATTCTGGATGAGCTGCAGAGGTCGGATGGCACATGCAGGTAGACCAGCCAGGAGGGAGTTGCAGTAGTCTAGGCGTGAGATGACGAGAGCCTCGGCCAGAACCTGCGTGGCTTTCTGGGTCAGCTGGGGACGTATCTTCCTGATGTTGTAAAGCGTGTATCTGCAGCAGCGGGTTGTAGCAGCGGTGTTTGCAGTGAAGGACAGTTTGTTATCTAGGATCACACCCAGATTCCTTGCAGTCTGAGTCGGGGAAACAAACTATTTTTTAACATGGAAGTCAATGGGACGACTCTTCAAATCTTCTTTTCCTACACCTTACGCCAAATGCTTTTCCTTCCACATACTTTCAACTTTAAAAATCACAAGACCTTCAGCTATTCAATTCTGATTCTTGATATCTTTTACACATTTTGAGATATTTAACTTAGTCTGGAGCTTGGTAAAGAGGCTTTCTAAAGGTTTTAACATTAGTGTGTATTGCGCTGCTCGTTAAGTCTAGACTGCTTTGATCTCATAACAGAGTGAAGGACAGCTTGAAATTGTCCCAAAAATCTTTTTTATAATAATTCCCAAACCCTACACTCCTCAGACATCATTTTTCATGAAAAACTAAGGAAAACCTCTCCTAGGTTGGAAAATAAATAAAATTAAGAAAAAATATTAAACAAAATGCCTCTTGAGGGCATGAAGAGACAAAAAGTCCACCTAGCTCCCAATTGATTCCCATGTTAAATGTTTCCGGAACTTTCTTTAGAACAGAGAGAAGTAAACTTTAGACAAACTGCTCTCATATTCACATTTACCACACAAAACCCAAAAAAACCAAAACATATCAGTTCATTGGGGTTCCCTGACGCTCACGGTCTGTTAATTTTTTGATAGGAGCCATAGTTTTTTCACAGGTGGCAAATTTGTCAGATATGATCCTCAATGCATTCTTAATGTCACTCAGTTCTGCAGCTGGTAACCGTGGTGTTACAGGGCAGATTGAAACCTTTGATCTCTGGGCTCACACAGGTGTTATGATTATTTGTTATGATTAGGTGCTCAGCACAGAAATAAACACTGACAAACACATTGGACTTTAACAGACTGTCTCAGCCTATTATTTTCTGTCTGATGGAGACTTCATACTGACTTCAACATGTTCCAAATATTTTATACATTATTGGTGACGTTTGGTTTTAGTCGAAAAGTTTGCAGTCAAAATATTCTGCTGCTTTTCAAAGCCTTTTTACTTTCTTTTCTCTTCTTAAAGGAATGCTCCACTCATTAGATAATTAATCAAAACTTCAGTATTTAGTGAAACATTATGTTTAAACCATACCCTGAAGAAATCAGCGGTATTCCCCGGTAAATAATGATTTTATAGCTCTTTTTTATCAAAACCTGTATATTCCGTCAGGCCGCTGCCATTTTGCCCATTTTCAGTAGTCACGTGATGGTCGTGACGTCATCCATGCGTTCACTTTGTAAACACACGAAAACATGGCGAAGTTTTGAGCAATATGAAGAGATTGGAAGGGGGAATTCAGCCATACAGGTTCGAGCCTACTTAGTACTACTTAGTAGATACAATGATTTTGATTACTAGATATGTATGCATGTAGTACCACCCTTGCTAGCGATTCCCTCTCTAGTTTAGCATACTCAGCCTCGTTGTCCCTGGCCCTAGAACCACGATTTGATGGGGCCGGAAAAACTGGGGGGAATACCCACTAGCCGGTACTACGCTATATGGAAAGGCCACCAAAAACTGGCCTGGCCTGGACGATAAAGGACGTTTAAACGGGGCTACCCGCTGCAATGGAAATGCGCCATAACATACCTTATTCTTACTCCGAGCACTACTTCTGGGCCTCCGTCGCTTCACACTTGCAGAGGGCGATTTCTCAACTGGCCGAACTGGTGTCCTGGTCGGTGATGACACCAGAAAGACCGATGGTACTGCATCTCCATTAAGTAATGGTTGTTCAATAAATCCCATGTTATGTTTTATCATACTCATAGTAGTCGTCCGGAAACTTGAAATGTTCGCTGCATACATGCGCCTGTGGATCTTTCGGTTCGGGCCGGCCACATTTCGCTAGCCACTGCCTCCGAACGTACTTCCTACGCTTACCTTTTGGCAACAGATAGAACCGAGCATTCCGTGGATTGTTCCTATCATAATTGTGGCAATGTTTCGTAATACAATGAGGCATATTTGAAGAGAGTAACTACAGTAAATAACATGAACATCAACGTGTCCTCGAAACCAAACGCATGGTTTACGTCACGTCCGGTAAAATGGCGCCGCCCACAGTGTTGATGTTATTTCGGTAATTAATCAGTTTAAAATCACTGATAATGTCATCGGATTAAAAAAAAAAAAAGAGAGACTGGCAGAGACTGGTCTGTTTTATCGGATGATAATTATTTAAAAATGAGTGTCATGACCATACCATTCCTTTAATACACATTCATTCACGACTACTTACATCTGATATTCAACTCCTTCAGCCTACTTTCAGCTGAAGAAACCATTAAACTATTACATTATTCAGCTATTTCAGGACATTGAGGCTATACATGTTGTTGTTTATACCTTTTTAAACCTTTTCTTTTAAATATTAAGCTTCTTCACTCTTTTTCCTACTCTTCCAGTTTAACATTTCACTTTCAAGTTTTCTACAAAGTCATTGCAATGCATTTGAGCTGTAACAATTTGATTCAAATCATTTCACTTTTCTGCATTTCTCCGCTAAGTTCAGCAACACACTTACTTGGTTTTTGTAGCTAAAAGCAGCTACCATTCAGCTAATAAAATATTCAGCTTTTTCTGCATTTTCAACTAAATTCAGCCACAAATGTTCACAGTTTACAGCATTCACACGCATTTTCTGCAGGAAATGCATTTTCTAGTCTTAAGAAGTTTGATTTCAGTATATTATTCTTAAAACTGTGCAATGGTTTTTGTTGACATTTTGTCTAGAGAAAATAACCTGTATCTTTGATGCTGAAATGTGCTTTGCCTTAGTTTCAAGAAAACTAAGGTATAAAAAAACAAACAGTGTGTGATGGGCTTCTTCCCTCTTAGTCTTCTTCCCCATTTATAAATAGATATCACGTCCACTTCATGACACCTACTGAACAATTTCATAACAGCTGTTTATATCCTAAAGCAGTGGTGGTGGATAGTAACTAAGTACATCTACTCAGTTACTGAACCATTTGTAGGTCATTTACTTGAGTATTTACTTTTCCTGCTACTTTATAATTATAATCAAATAATTGTTCATGTATAATTATAGAGATGTATTGGCCCCTATGAGAAATGTACAAGCTACCCTGCAATATATAAAGGTACACTTGCTTCCTATTTATCAGAGGCAACATTTGAGCATTAATGGATTAGGATTTATAATTTGAAAGCATAACATAATATTACGTTTTTCAGGTACTTTGATGACTTAAGGACAAAGTATTCAGCACTTTAACTTAAAGGGGACCTATCATGCAAAATGCACTTTGTGATGTCTTTTATACATAAATATGTGTCCCCGGTGCGTCGGGGAAGTCACGCAGCGTCAGAAAATAAAACCCTCTCTCTTTTCCACCGTACCCAAATCTTTTAAAAACGGGTGTACAACGAGCGGATTCGGATTCCATCCGAACTGACGTCAAATCGGCAGCGGACCCACAGAAAGTTGCTCTCAGAAACAATGCCTGACATGTTTTGGACGTAATCTCGTCTTTGTTTACATTAGCAAGCCTCGCTAACACTCAGAGCTAACCTGTACTGGAGAGCACATGTGTTTAAAAAGCTGGAAATAAAAAAAGAACTCACCTTGTGATAAACCTGAGAGAGAAAAAGCATTTGAGCTCCATACTGTTTATTTCAGAAAAAATCCTTGACGTGGTTTAAACAGGATGGCGTTTTATCACAGCCGAATGTAACTTTATCTCCGGTAGAATTCTGATTAGGCATTAGCTCCGCCTCCTCCTCTTTCTTTTTTTCAAGCTAAGGACCCAAGATCCGCGTTTCTCTAACAGGGCTTCAAAAGAGTGGTATGAGCAGTATGAGGGATGGCTACAATGGGTGATCTGTTTTGTATTTTGAAAAAAA